TGTTTATCATTCCCAGTAATAATCATATCATCAACATAAATTATTAATGCTGTTACCTTCCCTTTCCGATGTTTCAAGAACAAAGTATGATCTGAGTTGCACTGTTTGAAACCATTGTTCTTCATTGCCATGGTGAACCGTCCAAACCATGCACGTGGTGACTGTTTCAACCCATACAATGTTTTTCGTAACCTGCAAATTGTTCCAGTCTGAGTAGTATTATAACTAGGAGGAATGTCCATGTACACCTCCTCCGTGAGTTCGCCATGTATAAAAGCATTCTTTACATTAAACTGGTGTAGTGGCCAATCCAAATTAGTTGCAAGGGATAATAAGACTCTGACGGTGTTTAACTTTGCAACTAGAGCAAAGGTTTCTTCATAGTCTATACCATAAGTCTATGTGTACCCTTTTGCCACTAGTCTTGCCTTGTATCGCTCGATAGATCCATCTGCATTGTGTTTTACAGTAAACACCCATCTACATCCGATAGTCTTTTTTCCTCGTGGTATAGTCTCCAATGTCCAAGTCTGATTTTTCTCAAGAGCTTTCATCTCCTCTTTTATAGCTTGGACCCACTTAGGATCTTTCAATGCTTCAGAGACCTTGGTTGGAATATGGATAGCAGACAACTGATGCACAAAAGCCTTGAGTGGTTCAGACAGCTTCTCAGTGGATACATGATTTGCAATTGGATACTTGGATGTCTTGCTAATATCAGGTGAATAGCGATTTGGTGGCTTCCCACGATTTTGCCTGAAAGGTAATTGATATCCAATAGTTTTATCCTCTAAATGCACAAGTCTAGTAGGAGTAGTTACCTCAAGGATATTCTTAGGAGATTGGTCTGTTGGTATTGTTGAGTTAGAGGATGGGTCTTCATCTTGTTGTTCTGTATTGTCTGTAGGTGTGAGACTCGGATAAGAAATATCTTCATATGGATCAGGTGGGTCAGGTAATTGATCGCTATGAATGGGCGATTGGTCGACTTTCGACAGAGAGTAATCTTGTGATCCAGACTCGGGATGATCAATCATTTCTGGACATAGGAGAATTTATTCGTTTTCCAAGTTGCTCCAATTCTGCTCTTCACTTCGTATCTCCCCCTGAAGCATAGAATTGGATGATGGGTCATGGAAGAACAGCTCAGATTCTAGAAAGGTCACATCCAAAGTGACATAGGTACGTCGAGTAAGAGGGTGATAACAACGGTAACCTTTCTAATGAGTGTCATAACCCACAAAAACACAACGAAGCGCACAGGGATCAAGTTTGCTACGTTGATTTTTGTAGAGATGAACGAAAGCCACACTTCCAAAGATTCGGGGTGTAAGTACCAAAATAGAGGGCAGAGGCCTGTGTTGCGCTAGCACCTGTAAGGGAGTTTTAAAGGTCAATACACCATAAGGCATGCGGTTGATTAGGTGAACTGCAGTGACAATAGCATCATCCCAGTGATGGCGAGGAACATGAGTGCCAATCAGAAGTGCTCAGGCGGTTTCAAGAAGATGTCGATTCTTTCGTTCAGCAACACCATTTTGTTGCGGTGTCTGAGGACAAGTCGTCTTATGGATAATTCCATGTTGTTGGAAGTAAGTCTGAAAGTCATGATTGAAAAATTCTCCATCATTGTCGGAGCGAAGAAACTGGATTTGAGCATTAAACTGAGTTTTCATCTGTTTGTGGAAGGACTGAAAATGGGAAAACACTTCGTTTTTATTCTTCAGCAAATAAAGCCATGTCATTCGTGTACAATCATCTATGAACGTGACAAACCATCGAACACCAGAAGGAGCAGTGATAGGTGAAGGTCCCCAGACATCAGAGTGAATTAACGTAAATGGAGTA